CAAACCTCAGCATGGGCAAGACCTTACTTAACTTACCGAGTCCTCTCTATCTCTCAGTCTCTCTGTGTGTTTGTCTCTCCTCTCCTCTCTTCTGCCAAGATTCTGCCCTTGGAAATGAAAAGTATTGACTTTTCTAGCATCATTCATTTGTATGGATTCCCAGATAGTCACCCTGGTGAATGATTCCATAATGCCGCATAACTTGAGACTCAAGGACAATATGTCATTAATTAACCAAATGCCAATTGTATTTTAATTTTGCCAATTTATCCCAGTTCACAGCTTAAAGAAATCCACAGAAGGCTTACTCAGCTTGCTGGGCTGAGCACATTTGGAGATTGAAATTGTAGATTGGAGATTGAAATTGTAGATAGAGTTGCTAATTTTTAAGATGGACCTTACTGAAAATGCATAACTGTGTACTAAATTCACTGTTATTCTTACTTAGTCAAACTTGGATCCTGTCTAACAGAGCTATGATTCTGTTTCTAAATGCCTGTTGATGGTGTTGGCTTGATTGCAGGAAAGCTCATTTCAAATCAAGAAGGGAGCTGTGATCACAGGGAAGAACCAGCTCATATACCTCCAGGGAAGGTGAAGTTACCAACCTCAGTGGTAACTGCTTTATAATTCAGGGTTTACTGTTCATACTCTCACTACAAAGAAAATAAAGGAAGGCAAGAAGATTGAATTAGACTGAATTAAATATATTTTGTTGGTTTATGACTACAATTATGCAAAAAGCTAAAGACAACTTATTTTTCTTTTTAAAGCAAAAGGCTTCCAGAAACTGAAAAGGAATTAATGGGTAGGTAAATGCTATTTTCCCACTATTGTGAATATATATAAACATACATAGCAAAAGAGAGCTATAATACTACCTACTAATAGTTTTTACATTGATTCTGCAAATGATTTTTTAGTAATAAGTTACACGGCATAAATATATATGCCCACTACATCTAAGAAATGTTTTATAGGGGCCTCCCTGGTAGCCTAGGGGTTAAGTGTCAATGCTGTCACCAAGATGGCCTGAGTTGGATCCTCGCCAGGGAGATGACCCACATGGTGAAGCAGACCTCTCCTGTCCTGCCTAGGGTTCCCCTTAGCACTGTATTTCAGTAAAATAGTCCTGCTGTCCTCCCCACTTTGTTTTTGGTTAATCCTCTCACCCCTTGGACCTCTGGCCTATCTCTGGCCAGTTCTTCTATGCAAAAATGAATTTAAAAAAAAATTATAATTATAAGACATAAGTAATAAATAGACTACTAATTTATTATTTATGCCTTATAATTTATAATTAAGAATTATATAAATAAGAATTATAAAATCCAAGTTCATTTAATAAGTGCCTTCTATAATGCACCCAATAAATCAAGATGAAAATTATGTAGAAAGAGTTATGTACATGCATGCAATTATAAATATGTATAGGCAAGACTAACAGACTGTAAGTAAAATAAAAAATACTTGTATTAGGTAGTAAAATAATGGTGAGTTAATTAAAAAATACTTTTAGTTTCATATCATATGGTCTATTTCTCTATATCTATTTAAAGGAAAGAGATCCACTCACTGTCCTAAAATTGATTTCAATTTGCTTTTTGTCTTATGGATTGTGTTAAATTATATACTTTAGTTATTTTTCATTATAAGTGAATAGTCTTTAGTGTACATTACAAAACATGTGCTCATTAAGGGACTTTTGGGATTCAAGATAATGAACCAAAGGCCCTTAAATCACCAGGGGCTTTCAGGGGGGTTTCCATATTCAGGTTTGGTACAATATCTTAGAAAAAGGTTATTTTCTCCAACTGAAAGTTATGCTATAGTGATGTGGCTTCCTAAAGCATTCTTTAGAGAGATTAATCCTTACACTTTCACTTTAAGAACTGTTTAAACAACATCAAAACCCTGAGTTCTCCCTGCCACTAGTTCACCTCCCCTCCCCCTTCAAACTCAGCAAGAAACAGTTTTCTTAAATTAAATTCTAATTTGCTATCCAGATTGGTATTGTGGTTCAGTCATGGACAATAGAAGACTTCATTTGTCTAGTTGTAGTTAATAGTGGGAACCCAGATGGCCTCCATATATCAATTTCATTTTTGCCCCCAATATTGCAGTCAATTAAAAATTAAAAAAATTGCTTTCTCATACTGGTTGCTAATGTTGTAAATTATATTTCATGATTTTATTTTCTTCATAAAGATTTTCAGGTCTTTTGTGTGAAAACAAAAATAAATAGAAACACTTTATAACACATATTTCATGTTTCTTAGGCTGGTTGCAGAAGATAATTAAATTATAAATTGAGCAGCTATTCTTTATTTTCTTCTCCAAACTATTCTGTATAATTGCTTTTAAATATACTGGATTCCTTTTTTAAATGCCCTCTTCTTTCCCTCAACCATAATTTTAAGACAATTATGCTAAGGAATGTAGAAGAAATTGACTCTTTGGTATATCTAATCAAAGACCCAACAAATACAAGACAAAACCTGTAGGGGTCATAGGCCATTAACAAAAATAAATAAAATAAAAAGTGGAGCCCATAGCTATTTATGACACAAATTTCTAAGCTTGACTCTTTTCTGTCTCCTTTAGACATCTGCTATTGTTGGTGCCATGGAAACAACACCCAGAAGCAAGGGAAGAGAACTAACTCTGAAACAACAGAAAGAAGGCAAGAGAAGCAAAGAGGTAAAAGTTGGGGATAACTTGCTGACTATAGAGAACTTTAGAGATAGAAAAGAGGAGAAAAGAGAAGTGAACATATGGCCACTCCCAGTGACATGATTAAACAAAATTTGCTTGTCTGTTCCATGAAATTAGCATTCCTACCCCCATTTTAGTTTCTATTGCTGTTCACGATTTAAGCACTATTAAGTGCAAAGGCAGAAAAGGAAGCAGTTTTTAGGAGACACAAAGGTGAAATGAGCCTATAGAAACGTCTTTAAGAATAGAAGCTTGAGGGGCCTCCCCGGTGGCACAAGGGGTTAGGATGCAACCTATGAAGCAGGAGTTCAATCCCCCACAGTGGAGTGGCCCAGCAGACCTCTCCTGATTTCACTGCTGCTCCCCTCAACAGTGCACTTCTGTCTGTCTGCCTGTTCTGTTCCCCACTCTGTCTCTGGTGAATCCTCTCACCCCCCACATCTCTGGCCTGTACCCCAGTTCTTGTATGCATAAGTGAATGAATCTTTAAAAAAAAAAAGAAAAGAATAGGGGCTTGATAGTGGGTGCAAGGCAGGATGCTGTGTAATTATATTTAAAAAAATCATATTAGAGAGGAGAAATGGAAGATATACTACAAAATGTAAACAATTATCTAGTTGATGGGATTATGTCATAGTTTTTAAATCAACTGCATTATAATTTTATTTAATAAACTTCAATTTCCTATTGATATACAAACAAGAATAAAGGCAAATTGTTTCATTTATAGCATTTTAGATTTACAAGTATATGTATATATAAATAAATGTTTATATCTATATGGTATAGTTCTGGGCTTTGAAAGTTTCGCTACACTTACTAAAATGGCTGCCCCAGGACCTATGAGAGCTTTTCAAAACAACCAATACTACAATAGCACAATGGTTAATGATAAGGGAAAGAATAGTATTGTCTGAGGTTGTATGAATGGTGTCTCAATTTTTAATCTTAAAGTTTCCTTAGAACTAAGAACGTTTTTAAAAGAGTCCAGGTATCAGACATTATTTCTGAAAGACCTGGAAAGGATTAGATTTGCAATTATGAACTGGTTCCAGATTATCACTACTTTTTCCCTTTCAACTCTGCTGTAATCCGGAAATCGGCTGCAGTCGACAAATTAGTTGCCTGAGTTTTGGAATTAAATCTAAATTAAACCACAGCTCTGCCACTTACAAGCTGTGTGATCTCCACTGAATTATGTCAGCCGGCTGAATCCCATTTGTCGTGTGTAAAATGGAGAAAAGCACACCTTCCTCACGGTAGCACCCCTGGGAGATGGTCATGCCATTTGTGAACACTCTTACCAAGTCCCAGGAACTTTCCTGGGCCCAATAAAATAGAATGTATTGACTTTCAGAGGTTTTAGGGTCCAAAAGTACCTCTGGAAATCAGGCCTCTGATAAGTCATCCAATTGGCATTTCCGAGACAAGGCCTCCCACAGAGAGACGGCTGCTGTCCATGCCTCCAAGCCCAGATCAGATGCTCCCTGGGCGCTGCCCGGGAGGAGGCTTGGCCGCCCCAGCTGGGGGCCTCGCTGCCCCACCCTTGGGGTTTCAGAAGTACAGTGGCAGGGCAAGATAGAAGGGGGACAGCAAGGAGATGAGTTTGAACAAGAAAAAAAAACACACCAAACCTAATAAGGCGGTTTACCGTCTTAAGAAGAGAGATTCCCGGAAGGGAAACAAAACAGTTTCTTTTCCGGTGTTGCCAGAAGAAGGTAAACAAGCGGCGGGCAGGAGCACAAAGCCCCGAGAGAGCTTTTACCAAGAAAGAAACGGTGCGGTCTGAAGTCTCAACTGTAACCACTGCCCGGGAGTTGATTTACTCCCAGCTTGTGACAAATTGCCGGGGAAAAAAGTGTAGTATCAGCTCTAAAGAGCTCAAGTTTTCACCGTTCCAAGCACACGCGCGCGTGCACACACACACGCACACGCATACACACACACACATGCGCGCGCGAAAGCAGAAGTGAACTTTGCCTTCAATTATGTCAAGAAGAATTATGTCAATTCTGTCAAGAATTATTCAGCACATTTCCCCCCCTCTCCCGCGAGCCTCTCCTTCCAGCGACCCCACTCTCCCAGGCTCCTGCCGGCTCCCCGCGCACAGGAGATGCTCTGGCCTCGGGCCTTTGGAGCACCCGGGCGGGAGCGGCTCTGGGGAGCCTGTCAGCTCCCTTGGAGTGGGCAGCCCGCGCGCTCACCCAGCGCCGTGCCCTTCTCGCCCCACAGTGCCTGCTCCAGCCGGACCAGGGCGCGCCCCCGCCAGGGAGGAGAGGACTCACCAGAGGCAAGAGAACCGAGCTTCTGCCCATGGCTGGGGAGCACTCCGCCGAACAGAAGCGTCTCCACGCCCAGCAGAGCCGGCCTGCCCGCTCAGAGAAGAGAAACGTCTCCAGGAGATCCAGGTCCAGTCAGCGCTCCCCGCGAAGCCTCAAGCCTCGCCCCGGGCACACCCACAGAGTTCTGTAAAGCCGCTTTCCTTTCTCCAGAAGCTTTTCAGAGCAAGCACCTTGGGCGAGTGGGTCTTCAGAGACACCCAGGGCAAAGTGACAGAGTAGCCAGAGGCCCCTTGGGAGTAGGAGGAAGCATTGCTGGGGAACCCCGGGTTGGGGAGGGCGCCTTTGATTTAGCAACTCCTGCTGGAGGTGGAGGGAGAGTCACGGTTTTTGCACAAACGGGCAATCCCCTCTCAGGACTTTTTTTTTTTTCTTCTTCAGTCAGCTGGTAAACCCAGTGCAGGTAGGACCTTGAGAGCACACCTGCTGTCCTCCCTAAATCTTTGTGCTGTAGCTCAACCTGGAAAGGTTTTGTCTGGGTGTAGTGCTGGCAACAATCAGAAGGTGATCTGACCTGCAACTCAGCTCACTGAACTGTGGCTGCTACTTGAGAAATTCCCAGGAGCCCTTGACTGGAGTTTGAAGTGACAGTTGCCAAGTGAAAGGGTTCACATATTGTGCTTTGGGGTATTCTGAAGACGGGTGACCTCTTAGTTTTTATTTCTCATGAGAACAAAGTAACTTGTATGACAAATTACACAGCTCTAGCCCTATGAAACAATCACAATTACTTGCCTTCCTTTGTTAGTCATTTCCTGGTCAAGTCTCTTGAAAAAAATTTTTTTGGGTGCTCTGATTAACTTGCAACAAAGTCACCATTGTTTTGAAAAGTGGATATATGTTTAGATAGCTTTGCAAGAATTTTGCAAAAGGACAATTTGTGTGATGTCATTAATGAGTGTGATTTTGAATATAATTCTAAAATAAAAAGGTCATTTAAATAAAAAAGTACAGCAAAAAACGAGGAAGGACAAAAGAAGCAGAAATGTGACCAAGAGGGAAGGGGAGAAAGACAGAGAAAGGAAAATTGGCAGTCAACATCTTCCATTTAAGAGCCAGCAATTTTCACAAATGGTTCTTCTTTGCTTAGTGTTTATCTTTTAGCCCAGAGAAGTGGATGTTTATTTACTTACTTACAAGTGATAATTGTAGCAAAAAAAAAAAAAAAGTAAGTAACATGGGCAGCATTGATTAGTTAATAAAAAGCCAAATCAGGAATTAAAAAAATATTCTTGCTCCGTAGGTCCTGCTCTTTCTAACCACTCCTCCTCTATCCCCCTACCCAGGGGCCCCTCCCAAACCCTCTCCACCCCTCCCCCATTACCAGAAAGTAAGACATGTATTTTGTGGGGAGAAACATATTTATGTGTTTCAGGATTTTAGAAAAATTCTGGGTTAGCTTAATTAAAACAAGCCTCTTCCCAAACTTCTCAGAGCCTTCATTAAGCTAATATGCATTATGCTAAGAGAGGGCTATGACATATGCTGTTCCTTAAACTTCCATGTCTTCCTTAAGGAGTCCTGTGGAGAACATTTATAAATGAATACTTCATGAATAATGGTGCTCTGAGGAAAATAGTTCAAACATCTCTGATTAATTGTGTATTATAGTAACACATTCCTAAGGGCCTCCAAACCTTCAGGAGCAAAGAAATGCAATTTTATTTTTATTTATTTATTTTTTTAAAGATTTATCTATCTATGCGTACAAGAACTGGGGTACAGGCCAGAGGTGTGGGGGGTAAGAGGAGTCACCAGACACAGAGTGGGGAACAGAACAGGCAGACTGACTGAAATACACTGCTGAGGGGAGCAGTGGGTGAGTCAGGAGAGGTCTGCTGCGCTATATGGATAGCTCCCTGGCCGGGGATCGAACTCATGCTGCTGTGGCTATGTATAGCTTCAGAGGTTGCGGGTTTTTGTTTTTGTTTTTTTTTTTGTGGGACCTTCGCCGGTGGCTGGGGATCGAACTGGCACTGCAGAGGCTGCCGGCAGCCTCGCAACCCAGCGCTCAACCGCTGCGCCACCAGGGAAGGCCCCTATAGCTTCAGAGGTTGCGTCTTAACCCCTTGCACCACCACGGAGGCCCAAGAAATGCAATTTTAGTAATAGAATTTCAGGCTCTCTACTGATACAGAGTGCACCTCCTCAAAAGACAGAAAGACAGAAGAACATCACAGCAAGGTGAACTGGTGCCATATTTCCTGCTCCCACTTACAGGCAGCTGTCTTGGATTTCAAGTCTCAGTATGCCATGATGGGGGGAGCTAGTAGGAACCAGAGGTGCAATGAAGCAGCCATACTTAGTATGTAATTGAATGCACGTGGGCTCAGGAGTACTTGCAAGGCTTTGACTTGCATCCAGAGACTTGGGGGGACTTGGAAAGAGATACATACAGGAGAGATATGCAGAGACACTTGGAAGAGACACCTGGGGTGAGAAACCTGTGAGGAGGCTGACAATGACAGCTGTAATCTTGATGTACTATATCCTTCTGTCCCAGCTTTTGGGGACCTGCTTCGAAACGCTTTTCCTTTGGTTACCCACCATAAGGTAACTTACACTGTGGCAGACTCTCAGACTTCAGCAACCTTGCTTTCTGGGCCAATGCTGTTTGACTGGGCATTTGCCCATGAGAAGATGCTTAATTTTGGTGTTTTATTGGGAAATTTTGTAAGGAATATCCTTTCTTCTCCTCTTTTGATGTACATTAATTCTATTAAAGATCTATCACACTAAGCATCTGCTTCCTTTGTCTGTATGTGACAGATGGCAGAATCCCTTTCAAGTATGTACCCCTAGTAGTTTGGGGTTTCCTGAGTGCCTCTTGATCACATGCTTAATACTACCAGATGTGAGAAATATTTTAACAACATCCTGATTTTATTCAAGCCACACATATAAGCTTAGGCTTGTTTCTCCTAGACTCAGGTTACTCTTGCCATGGAGCATATTATTCTGAGTAACATTTAAAAGTACATTAGACTATATTAAAAAACTGGGGGAAAGAAACCTTCAATACCTTTTCACCACCAAGACTAATTTTATTTTATTTTTTTTGTATTTTTTAATTAATAATACATTAGTTTAGAACTCTGGATATGATTCAGAGGTATAGAGAGGTTCATGCCCTTTCAGAGGTATCTCACCACCCCACACCCACTGCCCATGCACCCATTGTCCTTCCACAGTCCATTTGGGCTGCTCCTTGACTTCCTCCCCACTCTCCTTCTCCCTGCTCTGCTCCCTGTCCTTCCCCTCCCATTCTGGTAGCTTCATTCTACAGTCAAATTTGTAGTGTTTGTTATTGGTTTGGTTCTTTCTGGCCTTTTTTTTTCAGTATGACTGAACATCCAGTATTTTTTTTTCCTCTTATATTTTGCAGAGCATTGTCCCCTCTAGTTCCATTCATGTTGTCATAACTGGCAAGATTTCCTGGTTTTTTGTTTTGTTTTGTTTTGTTTTAATAACTGAATAGTATTCCATTGGGCATATACACATTTTCTTAATCCATTCATCTCTCATTGGGGACTGAGGTGGTTTTTAGTACCTTGGCTATTGTAAATATGAATTCTGCCATGAACATAGGAGTGCCTGTGTTCCCCCCAATTAGTGTTTTTGCATTCTTAGGGTAATTAGAAGTGGAATTGCTTGATCATATGGTATTTCTGTTTTTTTTTAAAGATTTATTTATTTATTTATACAAGAACCAGGGTACAGGCCAGATGCATGGGAGGGTGAGAGGATTCACCAGAGACAGAGCGGGGAACAAAACAGGCAGACTGACGACGAAATATACTGCTGTGGAGAGCAGCGGGCACGACAGGAAAGGTCTGCCAGGCCATGTGGGATCCTTACCAGCTGGCTGGGGTTGAACCGGTGCTGCAGAGGCTGCAGACAGCTTCACAGCGCTGCACTAAACAGCCTGCACCTCCAGGGGAGGCCCAGTAGTTCTATTTTTAAAATTTTGAGAACCTTCATACTGTTTTCCGTAAGAACTGGACCAGTCTACGCTTCCACCAACAGTGTACTAGGGCTCCCTTTTCTCCATATTCACATGATTGCTTATTGTTTCTGGTCTTTTTTTTTTTTTTTCTGGGCTATTCTCATAGGTATGAGATGGTATCTCATTGTAGTTTTGTTTTGCATTTCCCTGGTGGTAAATGATGATGACATTTTCTTTTTATATGTCTATTGGTCATCTGCATGTCTTTGGAGAAATGTCTATCTAGGTCTTCTGTATATGTGTGTGTATATATATATATATATATATGCCCAAAGACGTCTCTAATGCTAATTGTTGTGGAGTGTTTTGGCTGTGTTTTCATCTATGTATTTTATGGTTTATGGTCTTATGTTCAAACGTTTAGTCCATTTTAAATTATTTTTTGTATAGGTGCAAGATAGTAGTTGAGATTCATTCTCTTGCATGTGACTATTCAGTTTTCCCTAAACCATTTGATGAAGATAGTTTCCTCTCTACATGGTTTGTTCTTGACTCCTTTGTTGTAGATTAACAGTCCATATAAGTGTAGGTTTATTTCTGGGCTCTTGATTCTATTCCATCTGTCTGTGCAATTTTTATTGAAATGCCGCAGTGATTTATACTACTGCTCTGTGATATAGTTTTTAGTCCAGGCGTGTGATGATCTGTACTTCTTTTATGTGAGGATTGTTTTGACTATTCAAGTTCCATATGAATTTCAATGATGTTCTATTTCTCTGTAGAATACCATTGAAACTTTGATAGGCATTGTGTTGAATCTGTATGTTGATTTGAATAAAATGGCCATTTTAACAATGGTAAATCCTCCAATCCATGAGTAGAGAATATAGTTCCATTTCCTTGTATCTTCTATTTCTTTTAATAATGTCATAGTTTTTATTGTATAGGTTCTTCACTTCCTCTGTTAAAGTTTTTCCTAGATATTTAATATTTTTGATTCAATAATAAATAGAATTGTTTTCTTCTATTTCCTTGTTTCCATAGTGGAACACAACTGATTACCTGTATATTGATAGTGTAGCCTGCTACTTTACTTCTTGTTACTGCCACCAAAGAGCTATTATTATAATAATAACTTTTGAATGATATATTTAGGGTTTTCAAAGCATATTATCATGGTCTGCTAATAGTAATTGTTTTACTTCTACTGTTCCAATTTGGATTTCTTTTTTATCTTTCTCTTGCTTAATTGCTCTAATGAGGACTTCCAATACTATGTTGAATGGACATGGTGAAATGGAATATCCTTGTTTTGATCTGATCTTAGAGGAAAAGACTTCAGTTATTTACTATTGCATATAATGTTAACTGTGGCTTT